ACCTCGGACTTGTGAGCGTCAGCCTGGGATGTTTCCAGCGCGGCTCTCCGCTCTCTCAGCTGGGTCTGTCTCTCCACCAGGTCGCGGATCTGCTTCTCCACGTCCTCCAGCTCGAGCTCGAGCTCGAACGTGTCCTCGCCTGCACTCAAAGGTAGACACACTTCCGCCATTAAAGCAAGTAACAGTGAGTAAAACAATGGTAATGACAGAAATAACTCAGGAATAACACAGTAATAACACAGGATTAACACAGAATTAACACAGTAATAACACAGTAATAACACAGGAATAACTCAGTAATAACACAGGAATAACTCAGTAATAACACAGGAATAACTCAGTAATAACACAGGAATAACTCAGTAATAACACAGGAATAACTCAGTAATAACACAGGAATAACTCAGTAATAACACAGGAATAACTCAGTAATAACACAGGAATAACTCAGTAATAACACAGGAATAACTCAGTAATAACACAGGAATAACTCAGTAATAACACAGGAATAACACAGTAATAACACAGAAATAACAAAGGAATAACACATTAATAACACAGCAATAAAACAGGAATAACACAGGAATAACAGAGGAATAACATAGGCATAACAGTAATAACACAGGAATAACACAGGCATAACACAGATTAACACATTAATAACACAGTAAGAAAGGAATAACAAAGGAATAACACATTAATAAGACAGGAATAACACAGTAATAACACAGGAATAACTCAGTAATAACACAGTAATAACACAGAAATAACACAGAAATAACAGCAATAACACAGGAAAAACATGGTAATGACACAGGAATAATTCAGTAATAAAACAGGAATAACTCAGTAATAACACAGTAATAACGCAGTAATAACACAGAAATAACACAGTAATAACAAAGAAATAATTCAGGAATAACACAGTAATAACACAAATAATTCAGGAATAGCACAGGAATAAAACAGGAATAACACGGTAATAACACGGTAATAACATGGTAATAACAGAAATAACGCAGGAATAACACAGTAATAACACAGGAATAATTCGGTAATAACACAGTAATAACATAGTAATAACTGAAATTACTCAGGAATAACACATTAATAACACAGTAATAACAAAGTAATAACACAGGAATAACTCAGTAATAGAAATAACACAGGAATAACACAGTAATAACAGAAATAACACAGTAGTAAAACACCATAACAAAGTAATACCGCAGTAATAACACAGTAATAACACAGTAATAATTCAGTAATAACGCATTATTAACACGCGAATAATACAGGATTAACACAGAAATAACACCGTACAAACACATTAATAACACAGTAATAACACAGTAATAACGCAATAATAACACAGGAATAACACAGTAATAATTCAGTAATAACGCATTATTAACACGCGTATAATACAGGATTAACACAGTAATAACTCAGGAATAACTCAGTAATAACAGAAATAACAGGAATAACACAGTAATAACAGAAATAACACAGGACTAACACAGTAATACGACAGGAACAATTCAGTAATAACACAGAAATAACACCGTAATAACACAGTAATAACGCAGTAATAACACAGTAATAACACAGTAATAACGCAGTAATAACACAGGAATAACACAGTTATAACAGAAATAACTCAGGCATAACACATGATTAACACAGTAATAACACAGAACTAACACAGGAATAACTCAGTAATAGCAGGAATAACACATTAATAACACAGAAATAACTCAGTAATAGCAGAAATAACAGGAATAAAACAGTAATAACAGAAATAACACCGGAAATACACAGTAATAACACAGGAATAATTCAGTAATAATACAGGAATAACACAAATAACAGAAATAACTCAGGAATAACTCAGGAATGACACAGTAATAACAGAAATAACACCGGAAATACACAGTAATAACACAGGAATAATTCAGTAATAACACAGGATTAACACAGTAATAACAGAGGAATAACACAGAAATAATACAGTAATAGCACAGTAATAACTGAAATTCTCAGGAATAACACATTAATAACACAGTAATAACACAGAAATAACACAGGAATAACTCAGTGACAACAGAAATGACACAGGAATAACAAAGTAATAATACAGGAATAACACAGAATTAACACAGTAATAACACAGAAATAACACAGGAATAACTCCGTGACAACAGAAGTTCTTAAAATATCAAGAGAGTTTTTTGTTATTGCAGCAGTTAAAGAAAGATCCGTGCTGTATATATAGGTCCGGGTCACTAAAGACCCGAATATAATGATTGGCGAAACATTCATGCATTTAAGGGTTAATGGAGGTTTAAATAAATTTAAAAACTGCACATGCAATTAAAATATAACTGATCGAACAAAAACAGTGGCGATCTGAAAAAAAACAGGTCTCAGAGAGGTGTTTATTACAAATAAAAATGAAAATGAAAGCACATGGAGTTGGCAGAGTGCGAGGGTCGTGGCGGGATGCGGATCCGTCACTCATGGTGCACCTCGGTGTCGGACAAACAAAAGAAGTGAGGAATATTTAACAGCAGCGGTCACAGTGATGATGAGGCCAGCACCAGTGAAGTGATCGCGGCCGCGCATCTCGTTTCTCATGCCCGCTCCGTGTGTCTGCTGGGCGGCGATCAAACGGACAGGGCAGCGCTTTTCACGAGCGGAGATCGCTACTAGACGAATCATGTCATTTGTTATTTTTATTATCTCTGTTCTCTTTTGTCGTAAGTTATGCTATTACTCCAGTAATTTATACTAGCCTATCCAGCGCTCCCTGAACGCAGTCTGGCTTATTGCCAGTCAAGCGCAACGCTGCAGGGACGCGCCTAACGACTTTGATCTGATCATAAAGTCTTTCCGAGTCACGGGGCTCAAGTCCAAGTCAAGTCTCGAGTCATTGCTGTCAAAGTCTAAGTCGAGTCTCAAGTCTTCTTTAATTATTTCGAGTCGAGTCGCAAGTCATCACATTTGGGACTCGAGTCCGAGTCAAGTCTCAGTCAAGTGACTCGAGTCCACACCCCTGCTATAAGACAATTATAAGTTATATTGAATTAGTTGATGATAATGAGAATTTTGTCTAATGCCTACAGCTTGTCCTTTCATTAAATAGCTAAAGCAGTGTATAAAGATGTATTGATATTGTGGTGTCGCCCTCTTGTGGCAAACTTCTATTATTACACAAGCCTTATTGTGTAAAAATGTATTTTTTGCTCCATCTCCTCCAAAGTGCTGTTCAGCATTGTCCTCTGTCTGATTCATGGCAAGAGACTTGATGAAAGCACAAGATTTGTAAACGCAGCTACAATTCTGGCCACTGCCATATGTGTTAGTAAACCTCTTTGAATACAACCAATGGCCAAAATCAAAGAAAGAAATTCCAAGATTAGCCATAATCA